CTGTGTCCGGGCAGGATTCTGTATTTCTAGTAAGCCCCCAGGTGATGCCATGTTGCAGGTCCTCAGACCACACTTTGAGCAGCAAGGGTCTGAAGTGTCTCATATGTACTTGTATAAGAGAAAATTGGAAAATGGAAATCTGAATTTTTCACAGGTAAGTAAAGGAGGTTGTCTATACTACATAAAATGTTCCACAAAGGATTCACTACTGGGATTCTTAATATAGAGCTCATACTCAACAATGAACTTAAAAATAATACAGATTTTTAAATTTTTTTTAAAAAAGGTTTGATTCATTTAAAGGAACACACTTTCAGGTGAGGGATACTTGTAATACTCGATGCACTGCTGCTTGTCAGTGGGGTCCTTGGCTGAGCCTAAGCAATTGTTCTGTTTATGACTTGCTAGTAATAGGATTTGACTGAAAGCATGCACATTGAAAATGCAGTAAACACCAATTCTGCGAGTATTCTTGGTAGCAAATTCTGCTATCAAGTTTATTGAAAGCACCCCAAATTCTCTGCTTTATCATTTCATTCATTCAATCAATATTTATGGAGTACCTATTATGTGCTAGACATTGTTATGGTTGTCAGAGAGATAGCAATGGAAAAGACAAAGTCCCACTGTTCATGGAGTGTATCTCCTAGAGAGAGAAAACAGACAATAATAGCAGACAGATGGTAGGGCATGGTGGGCTCACACCTGTAATTCCAGCACTTTGGGAGGCTGAGGCTGGACGATCACTTGAGGCCAGGAGTTTGAGACCAGCCTGGCCAACATGGTGAAACACCATCTCTACTAAAAACACAAAAATTAGCCAGGTGTGGTGGCAAGTACCTGCAGTCCTAGCTACTGGGAGACTGAGATAGGAGAATCAGTTGAACCCAGGAGGTGGAGGGTGCTGTGAGCTGAGATCACACCACTGCACTCCAGCCTGGGCAACACAGCAGGCTCCCTTTCATAAAAAAAAAAAAAAAAGTAGATAGAGATATAAAGAAAGCAAAGCAGGGTTGTGAATTATAGGATGATGGAGGGAGGATCAGCAGCTATTTTAGATCACTGAGGGCCTGTCTGATGAGATACTATTTGAACAAAGACCTAACTGCTGAGGATCATTTGATTTTATAAATGAAAATGATAGACAGTTTACTTTGCTAACAGTTAATACTCTTATATATTGTGTCCTATGTATATTTAATAATGTATATTTCTTCTCTAGATCAAGTTATATGACAATGCTTTGGGATAAGAAAAACAGAATATTCTTCAGGTCTCTCTGATGAGTTATTGTTTCTCATTATAATGTTTTAAATGAGGTACCAGTCCAGGACATGAGACCCTAAAATGCTGCTTTAAATGTTTATGGTAAAGAGGATACTGAGTACAGAAACTAAACTTAGACTCTGAAGTCAGATTTCGTTTTAACTATGGATTTTGAATCCACAGAATTACTATCTGTGTGGACTTGGGCAAGTCACTTAACCTTTCATGATTCTCAGTTTTTATCCCTATAGAGGCAGGATCATTACATCTTGCACATTAAAGGAGGTTTTTTAAAAACCTGGTACACAGTAGGTACCTGGTACAGTAGGTACTCAACTGTAACTTGCATTTTTCCATATAGATGAAAGCAACATGCAGTGTCTGACCCAATGTGGGCGCTGCCTATTGGTCTCCTTCCTGTTTATCTGCATTATCAATTTCTCTGTAATTTTTCATTTCTTCAGTTAAACAAGAGTTGATGGCATGTGCATTTGTGCTTGACAGAATTTCATAGGACTCGTTTCATCAATTCATGAGTTGTTTCAACGCTTCGAATCTAACCCAGTTTCGAGATAACTGGGAAACGAAACTAAGTCGGAGGCACAAATGCAGCATTGTCAGAGAAGCAAAAGTCATTCTGAAGTCGTCTGAAGTTTTTCAACTAACATCATCTTTAATCTCCGATGCCCTTCTTCCCAGATAATAAGAGCTGTGCATGAAAAGTGCTGAGATAAACTAATGGGAAACAGGATACTACAAAAGACATTTGCAAACGCCCATGTAATTTACTGCATGTCTGGTTTGTTTTACTTTCCATAATCTTCCTGTTGCTCTAGGAAATTTGTCTCTTCTGGCAACCTTTAGCCCTCTTTTGGCCAGGGAGTCCTGAAAAAGCATTTGAGGGCAGGTGAGCAGATACCAAAGGGTTCTGAGCGAGGAGCAGGGACAGGCCTCGCTTCCTGTGGCACATCGGAGGCATCATCACAGTATCCTTAGTACTTGTTTGAGAGAATTATCCCGCATGTAGGCAACCAAGAGGCTGCTAGTGCATTCAGATATACGTAACTCCCAACATATTTCTGAAGGTAATTTACATGAGTGAACCACTAAAAGCCTCCTTCTCAATTAACTGTACCCCTGGGGAAAAGCTATGCAGGCCTGCATAAGTGTGGGAACAACATAAAGGTGTTCTCTGTGCCAAAAAGGGGATTGAGCTTTATGGAAAATCCCCAAAAAGGACCATCTGGCGGCATAAATTATCCATTTAAAAATGGCTGGTGTGAGTTAATGACACCAAAGTCACCATGAACATGTGCAACATCCTTCAGTTGAGTTTTAATGTCCCCTCAGGCCTTGTTGCAATTATGACTTTCTATGCTGAATATGGCCAAATGTACATTTATCCACTATCCTCTATCACTCCCTATAAACAGATACCATGAAACTGCATTTTTCTGTAATGAAATGGGGATAGAGAATGGAGAGTCAGTCCAGGAGTGTAACTGCAAGGGTTTCACTAAGAATATACATAGGTAAACACACACACACACACACACACACACACACCACACACACACACACACACACACCCCTACCTCTTACCAAAAAGGATTCAGCCATTAAACTTTAGTTGTTTAATGACTACAAAGGATTCAGGTATTCAAATGTTAAAATTTATGATCGCTTGAATCATAATATACAGATGGGAATAGGAATTGCTCTGAATAAAAGAGTCACTAGGTCAAAGTACTCTATAATCAATCAACCTCCACGGCCCCCAGATATACCCAGAGGAAGTAAATGTAAGGACCTAGAGCTCAGCCTCAAGATGGGGGAGAGCTGAGTACCTCAACCTAATAAAGCAGCTTCAATATGCACAAAAAAGCACAATAATCAAGCACAAATGTACCAAGCCTATATGTTTAATTCTGATTTTCACTGGAGCAGGTAAATTGGCTAGGGCTCTAATTAGCCTTTGAAAAAGGGTTCAAAGAAGTTTCACATCTTTTAATTTTTTAATAGCACATAAACTTTTCAGTGGCACTACACAGAGGTCACGCTGACGATGCAGGTAGTGGCAGTGAGAGTCAGCATTTTCCTTCTGATTTAGGACTGGGACTATTTCTTAGGCACTTTAGGTGAGCTGATGTGAACACAAATGTGGAGAAAAGACGATGTGTGACCTTTGTAGAACCACCACCACACCTTGGGTGCTGTATTTGGTACTGATTAGAAACAGAAGGCACGGAAGACTAACACCACCATCTCTGCACTTCCCATATCAACATATAATGACCTGCTTATGTGTTTGTTTCCCACCTCTGATTGTGAATTCCTTGAGAGCAGGCACCATAGCCTTTCCAGCCATCCTTGAGTTCCCAGAACCTGGCATAGTGCTTCACACAGAGAAGGTTCCCGACAAAGACTATGGAATGAATGAGTGAGAGACTAGGCAGAAGCAAGGCAAAGAGAATTTTTGCATTTTAATAGCAGGGGCAATATAAAAGACACGGCCAATGGGCCTGAGGTGTTTTTGTTTTGTTTTTAATTATGGTACAGTAACACTAACTTGAGCAGGGAGATAGGTACTTCTGTGAATGTTAAGTTATACAGATTACTGTCACCACCACAATCAGGATGCAGAATGGTGCTATCACCCCAGCGTCTCCCCTGTGCTACACCTTTATAGTCACACTCTGTCAGCATTGTCTTTTGAAAAAAGTTTTAGGGAGGAATGAAGGGAGCTAAGATTTGTAGATGAAGAGGTTGGTTCAGAGATTTCCTTGGTGCTCATCTGTACTTGCAGGGAATTACTCTGAAGCAAAGGCTGGGGAAGGATGGCCAGAGAACAGTTTTTTTATACTTCCTCTATGCTAGGTAGTAGCTATGCTAGGAAATAGCTATTAGTACTCTCAGATTATAAAAACGGAGACACAGGTCAGAGAGGCTAGGTAACTTGCCCACAATCACACAGCCAGCAGGAGTTGAAGCCAGGATGATACTCCAACTGTCTAATTTCAAGGCATATACTCTCTCCTTTATACCCATTGGACTTGCCATATTCAGGAAGCCACTGGAGAAGATTCCCTCTAACCCCATGTTAGACATCGATAAGGGTTTCAAAAAGTTCATTTTACTCACAAGACTCCAGAGCCACGACTAGACTACCCCAGGAGATTAGGCCAGCAGTCATCCTTTGTTTAGTAAAGATCAGAATAAGGAGAGTTGTTCAATTTAAATAGAAAAATAATCATGATGATACCCAGTAATAGGAAAAATATTGCAAAGTGTCCTTATATCAAAATCTGAGTCTAAACTGTAACGCAAGGAACCCAATCTTCTTTTGAACATTATCAATCCTGCTGACAAAGCTGATAGATTTTTATTAGGATTATTAAAAGATAATTTTTAAAACTAAAGCGAAAGATAGTATTAAAAACAAAACCAAAAGCAAATCAAATGCTGGATTGTGGTGTAGGGGAAATATGTAAGAGTAGAAAATCATACACCATCTCACCAGTCTTACATTTCAGTTCAATTACTACTACTGCTTTGCACAGCCATCCTTTTATGAATGTGGCAATCAGATTACAATACAAACAAGCATCCATCCGGAAAAAGTGAACTACCTTGAGCTTGCTTTCTTCACTCTTCTGCATGGCAGGGGACCCCACACGCATGTTTGGTCTCACCGTGTTAGCTTAGCCACAAGCCCGTGCCCCCACCCTGCTTACCTGGCTCCACTTCATGCCATCCGCTTGACTGACTGCCACTTCCTGGGGAGCGCCCTTGGCCTGTATAAAATGGCTCTTCACCAGGACTGTCCATTTCATCCTCCACAGACTTGAGGCGCTTTGTGGAGCTGAAATAACAAATGGGTGCATGTTTAAAAGCAATCGAAACCACCTTTCTCTTGGATACTGCACCTCTGGTTGAAAGAAAGCCAAGGGAGGAAGCAATTGGGCAACTTAGCGTAGTTCTAGGGCTCCTTTTAAACCCCTGTTCAGTCTGATGAGTCACTGGATGTGGAACAAAGTCTTGGGTCTGTGTCGTTCCAAGCGTCTGGGTTTGATTTTTATTGTCAATCAAGTTGCTGCTGCCGCCACATCCTGTTCCTTTTTCCTTTGAGGAATGGGTAGCTGGCTCCAGCTCCTGTCTCCACCTGGAAGTGCTGGGAGTCAGCCCACATATTTCCTATCTCCACAGGTGGTAGCTGGGCCCTGGCCATCAGCAATGAACCTGGGCATCAATTTAATCCCTACTGGAACCTCAGAAAGGATAAAAGTTAAGGCTTGTGATCCTTCAAGAAATGCTTGGCTTGGGCTGGGCACCGTGGCTCATATCTGTATTCCCAGCACTTTGGGAGGCTGAGGCAGGCAGATCACACTTGAGGTCAGGAGCCTGAGACCATCCTGGCCAACATGATGAAATCCTGTCTCTACTGAAAATGCAAAAATTAGCCGGGTGTGGTGGTGGGCTCCTGTAGTCCCAGCAACTTGGGAGGCTGAGGCAGGAGAATCGCTTGAACCCAGGAGGTGGAGGTTGCAGTGAGCAGAGATTGCGCCACTGCACTCCAGCCTGGGTGACAGAGCAAGACTTTGTCTCAAAAAAAAAAAAAAAAAAAAGAAAGAAAGAAAAAGAAAAATAAATGGAAAAGCTTGGATTGCTTTTTTTTTTCTTTTGCCACGTTTTCCCATTTTCTACTTGGAGTTGTTCATTCAAAAAAACATTTACTGCACAGCTAGTCCAGGTCCTGCTCTAAACACTGGAAATAATCAGTGAACAAAACAGAGAAAAAGGAAGGAGGAACGTGTGCACTGCCCTCTGAGAACAAGGGGCATAAAAAAACAGTGGCCCAATGACTTTTATGTACTTTCTCTATATGGAGATTATCAAAACAAAGTTTTATTCCATCAGGGTAGAGATTTTCATTTTTTGAAGTATGGTCAAGAAACTTCCAGAATATCTATCATTTCCACCAGCTGAAGGACTGAATTTTCCCCTGATTTGAGGCTTCAGGGGTGAAAAGGTGAAATGCTGCCTGCTGTTAATGCTTGCTGTAGCTGTTTTAACTGAATGACACAAAATCAGGAAGTTTGGGGGCAGTGATAAAACTGTCCAATCTACCCATGTTATTAGAATGTGTAGATTTCATACCTAGTGGGAGTGCTTGTTGGGAAATCTCTTCCTCACGTGTCAGGGTACAGAATTTTTCGTATGTTTCATTCACGAAATACCTACTGTGTGCATCCTACATGCCAGGTCCTGTGCAAAGTGCTGGGATATAGAGATGAGTCAGACATGGAGACAGAGAGGCAAACAAAACTGTGCAAAAGAGAAATACAGATGTTATGACGGAACCACACACAGGGTACAGTGGGTCACATGATGGAGACAGTGATGAGCCAGGGGTTTGGGAAAGGCTTCTGGGAGGAAATGGCTCCTGAGCTATCTTCAAGTGCCAAGCAGACAGGGAAGAATGAAGGAAAGAGCAGAGGCAGGGCTGCTATTCAGCTGATGTACCACTCACGCAGCCATTTGGTTTAAAAAATATTATCAGTGTCACTGTCTCAAACTCCATACATTTCTTCCAACCTGGCCTCCCCTTCTTTGTCCCAGGATACCCTCACAGTCTGAAATCTAAAGGGTTAAGGTCTGGCACATCAGGAGCATTCCAGGACCTAGTCAAAGAAATCCCTGCAAGCAGGGCGGCGTCTGTTCTAATTGGTATGCTCGTGTCACACAGGTTATCAGATGTTTTGAACATAACCCCCAGCAGGGAGGAGGAGCACATCAGGAAGAAGCCACATTGTGAGTGAAGTGTGATATGTTGCGAGACCTGCCAGCTGTTTAGGATGGCTGAAGTGGGGAAGAAGGGCACAGAGAGTGAGGAGCGTGGAGATTCTAGAAGATACTGCATGTCTAGACTTTCTCCTACAAGTAATGGAGACTCCCTGAAATAGTCTAAACAGGGAATGACAGGTGAGCTATATTTTAGAAAAGTTACTTTGGTAATTGTGCAGATGATAGATTTACAGAGGCAAAGGGGAAAATAAGAAAATGGAGCCTAGGGCAGGGAGACAGTTAAGCTGTTGCAGCAATCTGAATGAAAGAATGTGGAGGGCCAATTTATGGCAAGAAATTCTCATTATTAATGTTGGCATTCCAGTATTCTTAGCCATTAAGTTCTATTCTCATTAAAGCCAGACCACAGGAAAGCAACATAACTGTGCCATGCTAGCTCAGTACTCAAAAGGAAATGCCTTTAATAGCTTATTTAATGTTCTTTGCTTGGCTTTCCTTAAAGTTCAATGAAAAATAGCCACTGAAGAACTTTTCTATATTTTATGCAAAACTACATCTAATGGGAGTCCTTTATAAGAGGATATACACAGAGAATTCTTTACAAAACATAACCAGAAAAATATGGTCTCTTTGAACAAATATCTCTTGGTCCCTTTTATTAGAAATGCAAACTATATAACCCTTTTTGCCTTGGCAACCAGGAAGCTCAGGCTAAACTTAAGGCATAGCTCTTGGTTCAGGCTCTTGCTATAACTATTTTTTCTAAATGGTTTCTGGCCTCTTTCTACATTTAATATTACCTGTTGTGTTTTAAAATTGAAAGCCACTTGAAATCATCCTGGAAATAGAAAGAATGCATATGAGAAAAAAAAATATTTCCCTGAAGTACTCTGGCAAATAAAATGAGAAGCCTATATGTTCTGATGGGGCCGCAAGATCTGCAGGGAAAATGACAACTTCTTAATTTCTAGTGCCTACCATGGTGTCTGGCTAATAGAAGATACTAAAAAATTGTTGAATTGGGCTACTGAGTTAGAAACAGCCATATGAATACATGTGACAAGGATTCAACCAAATATCTAATTCAATTCGATCTAGCCTCAAAGGCCAACTCTATTGTCCATCATTCTCCCATTATTGATACTTCTCTGAGTTTTTAAAGTTTTTTTATTTCCTTGGCATCCTCTAGTAAAATGCAAATACTCCAAGCCAGTATTAAATTATAGAGTTGAAAGATTCTATAGTTATCAGCTAATGCCTCAGTTTGAAAGCAAGGACTTTCAGAAGTTGACAAAATAGGGCCAGCCATGGTGGCTCATGCCTATAATCTCCACACTTTGGGAGGCCAAGGCAGGAGGATCGCTTGAGGCCAGGAGTTCAGAGACCACCCTGGGCAACATGGTGAGACCTTGCCTTTGCAAAAAGAAGTATTTTTTAAATCAGTCATGTGTGGAGGAAGACGCCTATATCCTAGCTACTCCAAAGGCCGAGGCAGGAGAATCACTTGAGCTCAGGACTTCGAGGCTGCCATGAGTTGCTATCACTGCACTCAGCCTGGGTAATAGAACGAGACTCTGTCTCCACTGGAGAAAAAAAAAAAAAGACAAATGTGTGGAGGGTGGTGGGACAGCATGGAAAAAAGGAAAAGATCAGGAACTATGCAAGTTAGGAAGCACAGGTGGAGGCTTCCAAGACAAAGTTTACTGACTCACAAACTTTTGACAGCTGGCTTAACTTGATAAAGTTTTTTGGAATAAAAAATGCATTTTCGGCCGGGCGCGGTGGCTCAAGCCTGTAATCCCAGCACTTTGGGAGGCCGAGGCGGGTGGATCACGAGGTCAAGGGATCGAGACCATCCTGGTCAACACGGTGAAACCCTGTCTCTACTAAAACTACAAAAAAAAATTAGCTGGGCATGGTGGTGCGTGCCTGTAATCCCAGCTACTCAGGAGGCTGAGGCAGGAGAATTGCCTGAACCCAGGAGGCGGAGGTTGCGGTGAGCCGAGATCACGCCATTGCACTCCAGCCTGGGTAACATGAGTGAAACTAAGTCTCAAAAAAAAAAAAAAAAAAATGAAGAGAAAACCAAATTATTTTTTTTTTTTTTTTGAGACAGAATCCAGCTCTGTCACCCAGGGTAGAGTGCAGTGGCATGATCTTGGCTCACTGCAACCTCTGCCTCCTGCAAGCAATTCTCCTGCCTCAGCCTCCTGAGTAGCTGGGATTACAGGTGTGTGCCTCCACGCCTGACTAATTTTTGTATTTTTAGTAGAGACGGGGTTTCATCATGTTAGTCAGGCTGGTTTCAAACTCCTGACCTCAGGTGATCTGCCCAACTGCAGCATACTGCAACCTCTGCCTCCTGGGTTCAAGTGATTCTCCTGCCTCAGCCTCCCAAGTAGCTGGGACTATAGGCGTGTGCCACTACGCCTGGCTCATTTTTTCTATTTTTAGTAGAGACAGGCTTTCACTGTGTTAGCCAAGATGGTCTCGATCTCCTGACCTCGTGATCTGCCTGCCTCGGCGTGAGCCACTGCGCCAGGCCTACATTCACTTTCTATGATTGTGACGATGTTTACCCCAAAGGGGTCCAGAACTCATAGTCAGCACCACAGCATTGCATCTATCTACCTACCTGTCTAGCTATTGAAATGAATCAGTCATTGATTTTGGTTTGTTGCTGTTGGCTTTCTAACACACTCATTCTATTTTCCCAGAGACACTTGACGAAAGCAGGAAAGTATCTATAAGACCTACACAGAAAGTGAGGATAAATATTCTCCTAGGGAGTGACACACTCTCTTCTTGTGCGTGGAATTTTTTTCTCGTATTTCTAGCAATTCAATCTAAAAAATAAGGTAAAAGTATTACCTTAATTCAAATATCTTCCTACTCTGGGTAAGGCCTAGATGTCTTACAGATGTCTTACTTAGCATTCGTTAAGATCACAAAATGCCTTAACTTTCCTGAATGTTCATACGACCCTTAACTGAAAATTCCCACTTACTTTCTAGTCTCCACCACTAGGCTAGAAAGCCCCTCTCATTTGACCTTATACCCATGGTGCTGAGGACGGTATCCTTGTTTCTTACTAATAATGTTCGCTGCTGAATGGGAAAGGGTTAGATGCTGTCATTCAAGGGACTTACAGTCCAGAGAGGGAGGCAGCACATGTGCAGGCCTCAAAGATGGTGAGAATGACTCAAGATGGCAAACACTAACTGTCAGGGAAGAGCAGAGGTGCTAGAAACTCCTTTTTAGGATCTCATCTTATCGTTCCTTACTAGAAGAGTCAGTCCTACTCTCAAGAGGATTCTGTGTGAAAAGAGCATATTTGTAAAGTTCCAACAGAGCTGAGCATGAATGGAGACTTCACCATTCACTAGGACTGTGACTTTGGGCAAGTTACTTAACTGCTTTGAGCTTTGTGTTGCTCCAATGTTAAAATGGCAACACTGTGCATGTTGTAAAATTACTGTGCAGAATAAATCAGAACAGGTATACAACTCACCTAATAGGGTGCCTGCCACCGAGAAAGTGATCCATTCACATTGGCACAGCAGGAAGACACACTGACTGACTGGTGAACATTTCTATAAGTCTGAGATATTCTTCTGGGCACACTTTCTAACCTGTACATCGTTAATTCTGCTGAATCTATGTATTTAAAGAATTTTTAAAAATCATCCTAGCAAGAGCCTAATGAGAGTAAAACAAACATATTACTGGGTTACTAACTACTGATGCAGTTTCTAATTAGCCCCTTATCAGGGTTAGTTATTTGCAGAACATGAGAACGACACTAGCCTTTTAAATGATATTAATAATGAGCTTTCCTCTCAGAGAGTCACAAAAGATACAAAACATAGCTGGAAAACTGTGTGAAAACATAAAAAGGGGGGAACACTGTTTGGGAGGTACATGGTACATGTGCAGCACACACATGAAAAACAAACAGCTAATAAACTTTTAAATTAATCACGGCCCCCAAGTATTTGCAAACCTTTTTCATATTGACTGAGTGCAGTTACACACAATGTCTCTTCCATCAGTAAACATTCAAAATCCTCAAAATGTATTAACACCCAAATGTATTCACAATCGTTCTTCTATTATAAATATACTTTGGATGTTTGACATTTTTGTCCCCCGAGGAGCTGATACTACAGGGAATTAAGGGGAACATTTAAACAACATGAAAGATGATGGTAGGATTTGGAAGTTATATTTAGGGAATACCTGTTTCTTGAACTGTCTTCAAGGTATTGGTAATGACTAAGTTGATTTTTTTTTTAAGTAGTGATGTTTAAAATACATAAAGGCAAGGTAAGAACAAGTGTCCACCAGGGAAAATGTCTTCAATTTGGGCTTTGTTTTAAATCATAAGACTCAGGTACTTGCTTGAGGAGGAATATCCTTTGTCAGACATTTTTCTGCAAAGTATACAAACATCAAAGATGGTTCTGCGCCATTCTATTCTTTGTTGTCACAGTCCAGTGCTAAAGCCAATTTGTAAAAGAATACTGTGGGTTTAACGTCTAATCCCTCTCCCTCTGGTACGGGTTATCTACAGACAACATGATCTTGCAAAAATGCTTCATTTTGATTTGGGCTTTGTGACGTTAAGGGAAGCACGAACTCCAGAATCATTATCAGGTTCCGCTGCTCCAGCTTTACTTTTCTGAAGGTTGCTCAATACAGTGGGGTCTGTGGTCTGGCCCCACCCTCACTTGAGGTTATACGAGTGACCGCTTCCATTTGTATAACCTCACACCAGGATATCAAACAGGTTTCATCTTTTAGGGCAACTCCAGTAAACTGGATATTGAGACCTTTGGGGGCTCAGTAGGAAAAGAGCTGGCACTGAGCTGTAATGTCTGCTGTGGGCATGACACAGGGACTGTCACCAGTGTCCACTTCCTGCCAAACAAGCCAAAACATGTGCCCTTTGCTGCAGTCAAACCTTGTCCTTCATTTCCTGAGAACATGTTATGTTCATCATCCATCCTTCCTCCATGCCTTTGCTCATATTTTCACCCCACCCAGAATTCCACTCCTTTTCCTTTCCATCTCGCCAACCCTAACCAAAATTTAGAGGTAGAACCAAGGTACTCTTTTTGGATAAAGCCCTCTTTATTTTTAGCCTGTGTCACACAATTGAGTTCAGTTTTTTTACTCTCTCTGTCTCTGTGTGTGTGTGTGCGTGTGCGTGTGCGCGCGCGCGCGTGCGCGCGCATGTGTGTGTGCATGTGTGCGTGTGTGTGTGTTTATCCTTGCTACATGCATATTTGCTTTATCTCCCCAATGAGACTGACAGTCTGCTGGTGCTGAACCCACTACCTTGCTATTACTGAACCCACTACCTTGCTATTACCTTGCTATTACTGACAGTGTGCTGGGGCTGAACCCACTACCTTCCTATTACTACCTTGCTATTACTATCACACACGCTCAATGCAGAGCAGGCCCAGAGTTAAAATCAAGGTGTGCAACCATGCAGTGTAACTTCTTCAAGAGCTGCCAATCAAATTACCTCGTAGAGGATGTGCTGGGTAAAGACCTCCTCATTGCTCCTGGACTCATGCTGTAGTATGAAGAACTTTCCAAATCTGAGAGAGAAAAATTTGGGCCAGTTCCTGCAGCTATTGGTGCTAGAATTAAGAAAACAAACAAAAATCAGTTAAGTTCTGTGAATAAAAAACCAATGAGAGTATATTTCAGTGTTGCATTTAGCACATTTTTTTCCATTTATATGGTAAGCTTATCCAAAATAATCAGTAATAAACTGACTCCAAAGGAATATTGACAATAAAAATAGTCTATATAGGAAAGGAATATTTTTTTCTAATATATCTTTCATCTTTTCTCTTTATGTGATAGTAAATTGTCACCGAGGTTGCAACATTCTTGGATGCTTTTAACAAAAATACTTCCCCACATTTTGTTCTTAAACTTTTCTTGAATGACCAGCCAAAACATTCCTTAGGCTTGTCTAACTTTATTGGATCCTGATAGCTTCGACTCATTCTGTATTATGGAATTGTTTTGAACTTTGGTGAGAACAAAGTCATCTTTCTAAGCTGCCCATTCCCAGTTTCTTATAATATGAAATGTGTGGTTTCTTCTTACTCTGAACCACCTTTGCATCCTGCATATATCTTAACTGAATATCTGTCCAACCTTGTAATTTAAGGCAGGTCCATAGCTTTTATGAATAAAGTTCTACTGGAGCATAGCCATAGCCTTTCATTTCCATACTGTCTATGACTGCTGCCACTTTACACCATCCGAGACGAGTAGCTGCCACAGAGACCATATGGCCCACAAAGCCTAACATATTTATCAGCTGGTCTTTATAAAAGAATTTTCTGACCCTTGATTTAATTTTGATTATTTGTGACTTTCGGAAATGACCCTTGTATGAGACTGATTGCTTGGATTTTCTGTCTTTGAGCCTTCAGATCCCTTGTTGACAACAGCTTAATAAATGTCTTTCAATGGACAAATAACATGTACCAATTTTACAAAACAACTTTGCAAAATTAGTGGTGTAAATTATTCGTGCAAATCATCTTTTTGAAAGATGTAAAAGCAGGAACAACAGATACTGCATTGAGACACTGGTTTGAGAGCTAAGCTCACTGAATTTGACACAGGAATAAATCAATTATAGGTTAGTATCCATCAGAAGAAATAATAATAAGGAGCATCATGAACCAGGGATTTTTATTCATCCAATGACTGCTTACTGAGAGCCTGCTACTGCCAAGAACTATGCTGAGCAAGGAAGGCACTTAGATGAAAGACGTGGTCCCAAGCCTTTAACAGAAAGGAAAGTCTGACAGATTAATTTTTTAAAAGTCTGAGAAGTCATTTGGTAGAGCTACAGGTGCTAACCTTATAATGAGGCTATGTCCCGATAAACTCATCATAAGTTAAAAATATCATGAGCCCAAAATGCATTCAATATACCCACCCCACCAAACATCTTAGCTTAGCCTACCTTTTTTTTTTTTTTTTTTTTCTGAGATGGAGTCTTGCTCTGTTGCCCAGGCTGGAGTGCAGTGGTGCAACCCTGGCTCACTGCAACCTCTGCCTCCCAGGTTCAAGCAATTCTCCTGCCTCAGCTTCCTAAGTAGCTGGGATTACAGGCACGTGCCACCACACCCAGCTAATTTTTGTATTTTTAGTAGAGACAAGGTTTCACCACGTTGGCCAGGGGATAAGAAATTCAGGGGAATGGCCTCAGAAAATGTGAAGCCTGTAAACAATGTTAAAAGGACAAGGAGGAATTATGCCGCTGAAAGGGAAGGAGGACTTCTAGGTAGAGGAAACAGCATCAAGGGAAGAGAGCATAAAATGTTTACCGGATTTCTGATAGTCTAGTATGATGATACAGTGTAGAATACATGGGGGAGAGGGAGGATGGATAAGGTCAGGTTATGAAGGATCTGGTAGGTTTTTCTTTCCTTTTTTTAGAGACAAGATCTCACTTTGTCACACAGGCTAAGTGCGGACGCAGAGGTGTGATCATAGCTTACCGTAGCCTCCAGCTCCCGGGCCTAAGCAATCTTCCTGCCTCAGCCTCTGGAATAGCTGGGACCACAGGTGTGGTATGCCACACTTGGCTAATTTCTTCAAAATTTCTTTTGTCGAGATGGGGTCTTGCTGCCCAGGCTGGTATTGAACTTCAAACTTCTAGTCTAAAGCAATCCTCCTGCTTTTGCCTCCCAAAGCACAGGGATTACAAGCAGGAGCCAACATGTGCCTGGTGGGACCTGGCAGGTTTCTTGAAGGAACATAAATCTGAATTCAGAAGATTCCCAAGTTTATAAGCTATTAAGGCATTTACCTCACCCCACTATAACTGGGGATTATATTGCCAGCATCTAATATAGTCCCTGACACCAGGAGGCAGTCAGTACTAATACTGGTCAATAGAATGGGTTGCTGCATTGAGTTATATTCAATAGCAAAGTATGGGAATGCTATCATCAAATTTGCATTTATAACCTAGAAAGATCAGCCTGTCATGAGAGTAGGCATGGAGGGAAAGAGTGAGGGGTGCTTGAAGAATATAATCAGCAAACCAGAGAGGCCACTAGGACATTTATGCAAGGTACAGTAAGGATGGGGTCTAAGCTCAAAGGATGGAATAAAGGAGCCTGATGCAATTATTCAGAAGTCAGAATCAAGATGTACTGACTGGCTGGGCACATGTGTGGTGGCTCACATCTGTAATCCCAGCACTCTGGGAGGCTGAAGTGGGAGGATTGCTCGAGATCAAGAGGTCAAGACCAGCATTAGCAACATAGTGAGACTGTGCCTCTACAAAAAAAATTTTTTTTAATTACCTAGGTGTAGTGACATATGCCTTTAGTTCCAGCTACTTGGGAGTCTGAGGTGGGAGGATCACTTGAGCCCAGGAGTTTGAGGCTGCAGTGAATTATGATCATGCTGCTACAGCTCAGGCCTGGGCAATGGAATGAGACCCCATCTCGAATAAAAATCTTAGAAAATGAGTAAGTAAAAAGAAGACACACTGACTTTTGACTATTGTAATAACAGGAATGGGGGAGGATGGGATAATTCCCAGCATTAGCGCTGGGTAAACCAGGTAAATTGAGGTTGAGGTGCTGTAAGGGAACTGTGGGATCAAGAGACGGTATGAGGGAATATAACAATTTCTAAGAATAAATACTTATTTGATTAATAGCAATGAATAAACCTTAATCACAACTGTCAGTATATAAAAACAGTCACTGCTAAAGAATGGAAGACTGAAATTCACATGTACTTTCTGAAATTCAAACACATCTCTCAATGACAGGCTTTAAGGGAGGAAGGAATTTTAAAAAAATTTTCATTTAAAAAAATGCTGAGGCTTGACAATAAATGTAAACAGGGTTCTAATCAATAATTCTGATAGTCATTCCCTAATTTGGTTTTATATTAAATTTATTTGCATAATTTCCGCTTTTATTTCATTATATTTTATGTATGAAATAGGCCATGAAGGAGGGGTGGGGGAGATTACTCCAATATGAGCCTAGATCACTCATCCTCACTCACAGCGGGCTGGCACGTAGTTGGTACTTAATGCTTTGTGCCTTCCTAGAGATTAGAGATTCACACCTCTCATTAGCTAAAGAAGAGTTATAAGGCTCATCAGTGTCATAGATCTAGATTTAGATGTTTTTCACAAATGTCAGAAGGAAATTGAGGCTTCAACTGGGTGGAGAAGCTGTTTCATTCCTGAGCATGGTGGACACTGTCTGGCCCTCACTTCCTCACTCTTGGAAGGAAAGGAACACAGCGCACAGTGTGAATGTGAGGGAATCTGATCAGATGGAGAGAAGAGGCCTCCTAGCTTTATCTTTTATATAATACTGCACTTATATAATACTTTATCTGCACTTATATAATACTTTATCTGCACTTATATGATACTTTATCCTAGAAAAATGTCTTTTGCCTTATCTTTTTTAAATGTCAAGAGAGCCAGAACAGGGGAAAAAAAAAAAAAGCCTGTGTAAACATCGTGTGCCAACGTCCCAGACATTAAAAAATAATTAAGCCCATATAAATGGGCTTCATTTGCCCATATATACATACTTCCTGTGAACCACTTAAGTACACTGTAATTGTAATGTAGCAAATGGCACCAGGTGGCCTGGCACTTCCCGAAAGTGTCTTATCAGACTTCTGATGAGTAACTTGAGAGCTTGGCAACTGGTTATGTGTGTCTTGAATTTTAAAACATCACTAAGTTTCTGAAATGAGAATGGGTTTCACAACCTAAGTTAAATAAGCCTAGTAATTCACAGATCCAAACTCTGCCTTCCTTAAGAGTCTTATAAAGGAACATCTCCCTGCAACTTCCTGTAGGTATGAATCACATGGACAGTTAGCTTACTGGGTTGGATTCTGACTCAGTGACACTGTCACAGCCAAAGAGAAAGCCTCACACTTGAGGGGTGCAGTCCCTGTCAAAGCATCCCTGCAGTGGGTTGGGGATTCTCAGGACCTTTAATCTGGAGAAGAGAAAGAACCTTTTGTCAGGTCATGAAGAACTCAAGAGGTGGGGTTTAAGCAGGCCTTTTGGAGCACCCATGATGGCACGTTTTGATAAGCACTTTATTTACTGTACCTAATTTCATCATCAAAGCAAACTTCTCAGGAAAGTGAATTTTCTAGATGAGGAGAATGAAGCCTTGGAGTGAGATTACGTAACTTGTCCTTGATTACAGAAAGACAGAGTCAGGGTTAAAATGCAAGGATGTCTGACCTCAAAACCTGGGCTTTTCTTAACTGTGCCACACTGACTCTCATATGTAGTATTTGCCTTAAAGTTGAAATAATAAAAAGATATATAGTGTCTCTGTCCCCAAAACGTTTACAACCTAAGTGGAATACTAAAATAATACCTGAATATCTAATGCAATGCCGAACATGCTAAATTTCATAGGAAAAATGCAAAGAATGTGCTAGGAAAGTTCAAAGGAGTCATGGATCCCATTGGCTTGTGAGATCAGAAAAAGGTTTGATTCCAGGAAGGGTGGGAACTTAAGCTGAGCCTTCGAGGATGGTTCACATTTAAAGAAGCACAGGAGAAAGGAGAGGCTTTCTTGGCAAAGGACAAAGTATGTGC